AACACCGAGATTCATTAAACACAAACTCTGAAAATACCAATTTTTTTGGGAATTCCTCATAAAATGAAGAACGTATATATTCTGACCAACATACGCATTAACGTTAAGCACCCAGTACAAGCACTTGGCAGATTGAAATTGAAATAGAAAAAAAGAAAAATAATATTACTCTGTACTCTTTGGGATGTGAATTGGATAATTTGGGTTTTCATTTTTAAAGGGTTAATTAGGCCCATTACCCTTAAAAAATAACAAATTAGAATAATACCCTAAAACTAATTAATATCCTTTCTCCCCGTAATAAATACGCTCAAAACCCCATCTCTTTGCACTTGATTCACTACAAGCATCTCTCACCTTAATCGTCATTTCTATTATCTTAAAGTTGATTTCCTTTCCTTTCTTTCTCGTATATTTTTTTGAAAATGGGCAATTGAAATAGGATATGTGCCCAGAAAGAAGCATTGGTATGATTCATAGAACCAGATTTACAATTCAACCCCAACCAAACCCTAAATCAACGATTTCTCTCTGTGTTCTAGTGTTTCTGGCTTGGCCTGGTGGAGGAAAAGGAGTCCTGTGCCGATTTCTGCAGCAATTCGGAGCCTGAGTTGCCAAGGTAGCACTGGGGTGTTTCCTCACCGAAAGAGACGATCATCTAAGCTCAAATTGGCCATGTATTCATATACTAGGCAACCATACTCGGGGCATGCTCCGAGGAGGAGAACCATGTTTGGATATAGAACGCAGCTCAGAACTTCAATCTGCATTACATTGCCCAAAAACATACTAGCATTATAATGCACATTTCATTTTTGCAATTGAAACTGTTTTTGATGCATAAGACTCTAATTTTTCTTGAATTTTCTTGCAAGTGACATGGAGTTTTTGTACTTTAGTTATAGAAAAGAAATGGTCCTCTACTTCTGCTAGTTTAACTTGATTTCTGTGTATGGAAAAAGAAAATGGAATTCTATGAGATGTATTATGTAGTTGTGAACCTATTTTATCACCGGTCACCCTTTTACCATATGTTGCTAAGGTTATATTGCACAATTGGGATTCAGATTTCTCTGTTAAATTGAATATTGGGTGGTTTCACACCTCTTGCAGAAATTATGATTTTCCTTGAGCTACATCAAAATGTAGAACCTTAACTGCAACATGTGTATGATCTAGATAACATTTATAAACTGGTCCATATCCGCCTTCCCCAATTTTGCGAGATTCTGAAAAATACTCATGCTGCTTCTATCTCCCCTATCGAGNNNNTTCTATCTCCCCTATCGAGTATTTACGATATCTAACATCACTTTGTGCTAGCTTATCCAACACCTTCTTCTTCTCCTCTGCTTCTCTGAGTGCTTTCATCTCAGTATTAATTCTCTTATGTGCTTCAAGTTCAGCTATCCTCTGAGCTGCTTCATCTTTCTCAGTAGCTGCCATGCATTTTGCTTTTTCTTTCTCTACATTCGGGTTCCAACCTTAAAGGTAGCCGCCGGCACAGGCGCTGGTCTTATACCCTCATCTGCCTTGATTCGAATCTGATTGTAAGTCAGCATTGCTCTGAATTTCGTTGATGCAAATGGAGGGTCAGAAACACTCATTCGTGGCATTAGTTACAATGTCGATTTTGTGAATGAATGTGTCATTCGTGGGCTGAAGCTGGAGCTGCAAAGCGAAGCAATACTGCAAAAGCCCTTGAGTAGTAGAGTTATTGTGTGCTGACAAGGTTGATAGAGTCTATAATCTTCAATACTATGTATTGTGGTAGTAACTGATAGATTTATGTTGCTGTTGTTGAATCTACGGTTGGGGACTAATTTTCTGATGATGTTGTGGTGGTCTCCTGCTCTGATTTTGATGCTGGACGTTGCTGGTAATGTTCAAGCTTCTGACTGTGGTTGCTGCTACTGGAATGGAACTGCTCAACCAACAGGGAAGAGTTAGACAGGGCTCCTTAGGATTGAATTAAAACAAGTGCGTGGTGACTGGTATTTGTTATATGAATATAGCCGTGAATGATGAATGCAAAAACAAGGATTTGTATTGTTTATTTCACCACAATGATAAAGAACAGAAACGACAATTCCGAGGCATTCGAGAGGCCTTGATCTCTCCCCACTTTTCTAAACAATTTGTGTCACTTTTTTAAATTTTTGTTGCTTTTTTGAGTTTGTCACTTTTTTATTGTCTGTCACTTTTTTAATTTGTGTACTTCTTTTAATTTATATTACTTTTTTGAATTCGTCACTTTTTAAAAATTTCTATGACTTTTTTGAATTTTTGTCACTTTTTTTAGTGCGACACTTTTTCAGGGGCCTTCTTGAAATTTCTATCACTTTTTTAATAACAAACATCATTTTTAATAAAAGATAAATTGTATGTATTTAATAAAAAGATGACACAAAACTT